GAAGAGGAGGTCCTGGTCAGACATGTGAATGTTGTGTTTGTTTCTCAGACCAGAAACAGCTGCTTAACCACAAAGCTGCTCATGTCTGTGTAATCTGCCCAGAATCCTCCCTAAAACAAGCAATAAACCACCTCTGTGCTGGTCAGTGCTGAGGTTTTTTTCCTGTTTCGGTGTGCTGGGAGAACTGAAAACGGACCCGAACGCAGACACACATCAGGCAGGAAGTTGCAGAAAAATCAGAGAAAAACTTTAACGTAAAACCAACCAGAAGACAGAAACTTAAAGACAAATAATGAACAAACAGAAGAATCCGAAGATCACACATCCAGGTAGTTCAACTACAGATTTAACTGAGGGGGGGGGGCTGAGGACAGACAGACAGGAACTAATGACCTGAACAGGAAACTGGAAGAAGCTACTGGAGGAGAAAGCAGGCCCAGAAAACTAAACATAAATTAAACCCAAATGTTTTATCTGTCACACGAATCTGTCTGTAATCAGCTAAATGCATTTAAAAATGCCAATGTGAACTCAGCTACTAAGTTAAGGCAGTCAAGCCCTTCGATTGGATTTTTATTACCTAATTCCACTCATTTTGGAGCATCTGGAGATGAAACTGGTTTTCCTCTTAGAGCAATGTTATGCAAACCGACCACCACATTCACTCAGTGTATTTGGACAGAATTTTGTGATATTCTTTCATTGAAAACATTTTGTCTTGTGGCTGAATTGGGTCTGAAAGATGGACGCAAAACACGGATTTTGATTTTTAACCCTTATTTGAATGAAAACGCGTCATGTAAACACACAAAACTCCTTTCTATATGTAACATAAGTCTGTCCCTGTTAAACTACCATCTCCCCCAAGGAAATTCCATTTCTACTCATTTGTTTTTTGCTGTGATGCCAAAAAAAAAGATACAAAACAAGTGTTTTTAGCCGATTCAGTAAAAGTGCAGATTTCTCTGACACATAGCTGAAATGCTGCCTTTTCCTGCACCCATTCATTATTAAACGTTGATCTTTTCTTTATTCATTCATGTTTTATCTCCATTTGGTCGTCACATTCTACAAACTGTGGCTTGTTTGTTTGTCAGGTTCCCAAATTGTGACATTTCTTTGCCTTCGTCAGACTGACGCAGCTGTGCCCTCGGCCTGGACCGACCTCTTTCCCGAGACGGCCAGCCCGACCACACGCCCACAGGCCTCGGCCAATCAGCTCACAGATTCAGAACGTGTCCGACCGAGGTGGGTCCGAAGCTGCAAACAGAGGAAATGCCCTCGTTTTTTTCAGAGATCCAGGGCTGCGTGAGGTCCATGTGCTTTTTTCTGACGTGGACAGTAACACAAACTAGACAGAAAAAAACACAAAAACACCCCTGAGAGCAGCGATCTCAAACTGTGGTCCACTTCAGGCTGTTGAATCAGTTTGCAGATGTTTTCTCTGCTTCAAAACACCATCTAGAAACACCTCAAACCTGCTTCAGAAACCTAAAAAGGACCAAAATCTGAAGGGTCTGCTGTAATCCTAAAGAAATATCCCATTTCTGGACTTTACTATGTCATGAGTAGTTTACTTTTAGCTTGTTTTTCCAAGTATTTTTGTCTTTTTTAGCATAAAGACACATTTCTCAAACCATTAAAAGTTTTTTTGTATCCTTAGAGAAACTGAGGATTTCTTCTTAGAAATCAGACCCAGAGAGGCAAAATGTTAAAATGGCCTATTATTCTTTAAGATATTTCTGAGTAAACGTGTCTGAGTTAATTCGGGGCACACTGAGAAAAACTGACACCACCACTGACACCACCAGGTCAAAGCGGACATGAGAACACAGGATTGCATTTTTAAGGCTCCAAACCTGCAACGTTTCCTGGTTTTTCTCATTTCCTTTTTTCAAATTATGACCCGCTGCTATTTGTCATGATGAACATTGCTCGCAAAAGCCATAAATGCTATAAATGTTTGTTCAGAAGGGATTATGAGGAAGTAGGATGGGAGGGGGGAACAAAATGCAACTCCCTTCTGACCAAAACGATCATATTTGTACAACAGATTTTAATCCGCCTTTAAAGTTTGAGGAATATTGAAATGCAAAACCATTAAACCAAAACAAAGGAATGTGTCTCACTTTTTTGGGTTATTTTTCGAGAGTTTTTTTGTGTTTCCAATCTAGTTTTTCATTTCCTGGGTCTGTTTTTTTAGATTTTTTTTAGAGTTTCTTTTTAAAGATTTATTTTGTATTAATTTCTTTTCGGTTATTTTATAATGAATTTGTTTGTTTCTGGTATAATTTTCCCTTTTGGAGATCATTTTCTGTTAATGTGCACCTTTGTGAGGATTTTTTCTTTTTTGTAGCTCTGTCATGCCCTTTTTCTGTTAGTTGTGTTACATCTAATCAGGATTTCAAACACAGTTTATTCTCCCCATATTTCAGCCGCCTCACCAGGCTTCTCACCTAAAACTCTGTTTTCTGTTTAGGAAGGACAGGAAATAAAGTCTCATCCTGCTTTGACATGCATCTGAAAACAGCTTGCAGGGCTATTGGAGGTCTCAGATTGTGTGCTCGTCAACTTTGACCCAATTTTTAGCCGTCCACAATCTGTCTGAGGAGCTTTAGTTGCTGAAATGTGATACAGAAAAATACGAGATGCCCCCGTCACTATGATATATATCTGGTGACCACATGTCTTCATAAACGTCAAAGGAGTTCTCTCTAATCATCACTGCATTTTACTACTGAGCTGTTTACCAGTAAATATTTAACCTAAATAATCCCAATGGCTGGAGCTAACCTATAACCACTACCTCATAAAATGCTTGATAAAATAAATGTAAATGCAAGTAAATGTCAATTACATTTTATCCAGATTTCTTTTAGCGTCACCGTCCCCTTTCAATGTTTCAATCAAGTCTAAATCAATCAACACAACATGTGTATTTTCAGGATTATTTCAGTGTTGAGGCATTTTTTAGGCTGCATTTACGCAGTTTCCCCGTCCATGATCAGCCAGAAGGCGCAGCTGCGGTGTGGATTGCATCTTTCACGAAGAGGAAACCAGGCTGAACGCCAACGTCCATTTCTGATTAATCCCTCTTCTCTTTACTGAAGATTCTTAGAAAAGATGTAGAAAACACCAAGAACTTCAACTGTTTTTAGAAATGGACAATCAAAGTGTCACCATGTTACTTTAGAGGGTGGAAAAATGGGCAGAAAAATCAAAGTGTCACCATGTTACTTTAGAGGGTGGAAAAATGGGCAGAAAATAAGTTAACTAACTGATTTTATGTAAAAAAAATGATGATCAGAAGTAATAGAAATAATATCTGAGCTGATTGCCTTTCATCTGACTTTCCTTCAGAAGTAAACAAAGCTTAGTTAAAGATTTACTTTGACGTTATTGGAAAGAAAGTAATGCCCTTGAAGATGGATTTCTCTCCTTTTCTTTCCCTCTTCTGGCAGTAAGTTGCCTTTAATAGAAAATGTGGTTCCTTCACACAAAGTCTGCAAAGAAATGCACACAGCAGCAAAACACAACCACTGAATGACTCTGCAAAACTGTGTTTTAGACCAGAAAAACACCACAAAGACACCTGTTTGAAACCATATACAGAGAATAAATTAAATCAATCAAACTGTTTTTTGGCTGGAGTGGTTAAAGTAGGACTGTAGATAATAACGAGGCCACAAAGTCTTTCCAAACGTCACTCCATGATGGTTGAACAGCTATCAGAGAGCATCTCCTACCATAACTCTTATTTTAGGATTAGGAACAGGACTCATTGTCCAACCACACAATGGATGCTGTTTCAGGGACTTGTCCTCATTTGAAAAACCTTTAATGAACACCAAAGAAAAACACAGACTCTGATTCTCTCCAAATGTTAATGTTTCATTCATTTTAATGAGTTATAACCACTTTAAACATAAGACAGTAATCCACATAAACACATCCGACCTCAGTGGTCATATAAAGATTAAAGTAAAGGATTTAAGAAAATGATCCCCGGACACCACTTAATCTTTTAATCCTGTGAACGATTTTAACTATAGACATTAAACTTAGACCAGTAAGACATAAAAAAAACTTTAAGACTGAATTCCTGAAGAGGGAGTGGGAGAGGACAGAGAATAAAAGGTGAAATGCAGCCAAATAGATTTAAAAAAAAATATTTTTTTAAAGCTACTGGAAACACGTGGGGTTTGAGATAAAAAAATTAAAAAAAGTAGGCTGAATGCTTTCTGTTAACGGTCACATGACTGACACATTGTTTTTCTGGTACTTCTCCCAGAAGTGCGAAATTGATGTTATCACTCTTATCTCACAGTGAGGCATGTCTGGGGGAAGAGGAGTGTCCTAAAAGCTCTGAAACATTAACTTATATGATTTCAAGAAGACTCCATGTGTTAAGAGACAGCACACCCACTCAGAGTTCTGGAAAATTACTATTTTACATGATTAATCTAGGAAGCTCGGTTTTACATCTTTATGAGTTTGGGATGGGCTGGTACACACTTCCCAACCCCTCCAACCAATAAATGGTGTTCTTCATGCCTGAAAAAATAAGAGGAATTGGTCTATTTCTGAGTATTTAGGGAGTTATTCTGCTTCCCTAGGGCCAGAACCAGCTAGGCCCGCATTACCAGGACTGTCAATTAGAAAGTATTTGAAAAATGAACCAAGTGTCTCCGGAAAAGTGAATAAAATTGCACGCTTTGCACTATCTTTGTGTATATATGACAAAAATCTGACTATAATCTCTATTATTTTTTCTATCTATCGCTTGTTTCACATGAATAAATCATATAAATCAAATCATTTCAATTGGACTTTAACGAATCTAGAGACACATCTACTTAATGTTTCTTCATTTTTATTTCAGAAAATGTTTGGCTCTGCCATTATGTTCAACCACAACACCAAAAACTAAAAACAAGTGTCACATTTTGAATCTATAGGTACAAAAGAATAAAAATAAATCTGAAAAATGGGTTATAAAAGGGGTTATTGTTTAAATGGAGGTTCCCCCCCTCTCATCACAGGTGGGCGTTTGGAGGCCCAGACCTGGTCCTCTGGTATGTGCGAGTTTCCCCTCAACTTTCTCGTGTTTCGCGGGTACGTTGTGTCCTTTTACTGTTAGCACAGGGGGTCAAAGTTCAGAGGCTCGCCCCCTCTGACCTCGGTGAGGATATTCTGACAAACACTTCGCAGCGAGCGGCCACCGGTTCAAGCTAACAGCGAGACGCCGGCGGCCTTGTTTTTCTGCTCGGGTTTCCTCCTCATGGCTCATTTCCATGACGACCCCCTGATTGGCCGCTTCGCGTCCCCAAGCTCGAATGTGATTCGCCCGGATTTCTGTCCAGCAGATCCATCCTCCGCTCTGATTGGCTGCCGCTCCGCGCTGCAGAGCTGTCTCTTTATCAATGCAGACCCTGTTAAAAATGCTTTACTTTTCCCAAGAAAGGCGGCCAAACGACACGTAACCCACAAAAACCGATGCCTGTCTGTCTTTCGGGGGGTTCCGAGTGAATATAGCTGCTTATTTTCGTCCGCTGGCTGATGACAGGCGGCGGGCTGAAGTTTTGAACTGCTGGCCTGAAGATGCAAACCTCTAAGAGTTTTCGTTTGGATGATTTCATCGCAGGATGGATCGGAGGTGAGAGACTTTGTGTCCTTTTTCTGCTTTTTTGCTCTG